CCAAGCACACCCCCCCAGCACGAATCCCCCAGCACAGGCCTCCAACACAACCCCCCAGCACAACCCCCAGCACAACCGCCCAGCACGACCCCCAGCACAACCTCCCAGCACAGCCCCCCAGCACAACCCCCCAGCACAGCCCCCAAGCACAACCCCTCCTGCACAACCCCTCCTGCACAACCCCCTCCTGGGGATTGTGCTGGGGGTTGTGCTGGGGGGTCCAAAGCGCGTGCACCGCCTGTAGGAGGCGCTTGCAACGTTTGTAGAAAGGACGTCTGGGAAGTTCACAAAAGCCGAAGTGCTTCGAAAGAGCTGCGGAAAGGCTTCCCGGAAACGTATTGGGAACGAGTAGGAAAATGCCTTCGTGATACGCTGCAGTCCCCATCTCTCCCCCCAGTACAACCCCCAAGCACAACCCCCCAGCACAACCCCTCGGCACTCCGCCCAAGCACAATCCCCAGCACAACCCCCAGCTCAACCCCCAGCACAACCCCCAGCACAACCCCCCAGCACAACCCCCAGCACAATCTCCCCAGCACAATCTCCCCAGCACAACCCCCCGGCACAATCCCCAAGCACAACCCCCCAGCAAAACCCCTAGCGCAACCCTCTGGCACAACTCCCCTGCACAACCCACCAGCACAATACCCCTGCACAACCCCGCAGCACAACCCCCCAGCACAACACCCAAGCACAACCCCCAGCACAGCCCCCCAGCACAACACCCCCGCACAACCCCACCGCACAGTCTCCCAGGACAACACCCAGCACATCCCCCAGCATCCCTCCCAGCACAACCCTCCAGCACAACCCCCAAGCACATCCCCCAGCACGACCACCGGCACGACGGCATCGCCATGACCATTTTGTTAGCTGGGTCTTCGAGCATCGCTCGCGCGATGGCCGTAGGGCATGGAACAAACCAACGAATCAAGTAACATGATTTTAGAGTAGGTGCGCGAGGTTGAGGCCGGGCATGTCGTCCTAGTTTTTGAACTCCCTGTAAAGCCAACAGATGCTCCAGCCTCGACGCCAGCAACGGCACCAGCACCGAAGACAGACAGTAGCAACCCCAGTATGGCAGCGGGCACTAGTGTCAGCATCGAAGCCAGCAACGACCCCAACGTCGACGCCAGTACCGACCTCAGTATCGACCCCAGCACCAGCGCAAGCAGCGAAGACGGCAGTGACTCCAGCACAGGAGCAAGCAATTACATCATCACCAACGCCAGCATCGACTTCAGCATCGACGCTGGTACCCACTCCAGTATCGACCCCGACATCGACGCCAGCATCCAAGGCAGAACTGAATCCAGCATTGGAGTCAGCAGCGACGCCAGCATCAACACCATCACTCACGCCAGCATCCAAGACATCCATCACGCCAGAATCCACGCCTGCATCGAAGACTATGTTCGTCCAAGCCTCGCAGACAGCACAGACGTAAGCACAGGCATCAGCACCGACTCCAGCATCGACGCCCGCACTAACGCCATTATCAACGCCAGCATCGACACGAGCACCGAGGACAGCACCGACGACAGCACAGGAGCCCGCATCGAGGTCCGCACCTGCGCCAGCACCGACCCCAGCGTCGACGCCAGCAACGCCGCCGGCATCGACGCCAGCATCAGCACCATCACTGAAGACAGCAGTGACCCCAGTACTTGGGCGCCCGAGTTATCTGGGGTAACTCGGGTCCGGGGTAACGCGGGTTTGGATTCCCGAAAAACGAACCCGAGTTAGCCCTGACCCGAGTTACCCCTGATGATTTGGGGCTCTGGACGCCCGAGTTATCGGGGGTAACTCGGGCCCGGGGGAACTCGGGCCCGGAATCCCGAACAGCGAACCCGAATTAGCCCTGACCCGAGTTACCCCTGATGATTCGGGGCTCTGAAGTACCGCAGCCAGCACCGACGTCAGCATCGACACCAGTACCGACCCCAGCATCGACCCCAGCACCGACCCCAGCATCAACCCCAGCATCGACGCCGGCATCGAAGACGGCACTGACTCCAGCACCAGAGCTAGTATCAGTGTCACCACCTGCCGCATCACAGCACGACGACTTCACAAAAGTGGGTCCCCGTGGCCCCTACCAAGGCGATGTGGGCCTGCGGTAAGCAGCGATGTCCTTGTAGACACCAGCAGTGAGTCCAGCAGCAAAGCAGCCCAACACGCTATCACCGATGCCAACATCAACGCCAGCATCGAAGGCATCGTTCATCCCAGCCTTAAAGCAAGCTCGCATCGACGGCAGCAACGACACCAGCACTGACTTCAGCATCGACGCCAATACTAACGCCAGCTTCAACACAAGCATCGACACCAGCGCCGAAGACAGCATCACTCCAACAAAAGAGCCTGCATCTACGTCCGCACCGACGCCGGCAGCCACGCCACCATCGACCCCAGGATCAACGCCAGCACCGACGCCAATATCGAAGCTCGCATCGAGAATAGTGTCGACTCTAGCTCCGCAGCCCGCATCCACGACAGCATCGACACCACAACCGAATCCAGCACCGAAACCAGCCCTCACGACAGCATCGAAAGCAGCCTTCCTTTGCGCCCGTCGACAGACACCACGACTGCAACATGTGTGCTTCGCCGACCGTCCGCGCGACGTCATACCCGACGTTCCCCCCGACGCTCTGTCTGACGCCCTTCCCAACTCCCTCTCCGACGCCGCGCCCCTCGCTTCACCCGTCGCTCCACCTAGCGACCAACAGCAGCACCGCGATACCACTATTGCGACTGGCAGCTGCACCATGCCACTCTCGTACCCGACAGCCCGACATGGCTCCCGACGCTCCACATCGACGGACGAGCAGCAGCACCAGGGGCTGCGGCCGGCAGCACCATGACCAACGCCACAACGGCAATCAAGAACACCACCACCAAGACCTCGACCAACATCATTTCCAAGATCTCGACCGCGACCAGCAGAATCGAAACACGCACCGCGATTGTGACCAGCAGCACCACTACCACCACGGCTGCGACTGGCAGCAGCACCACCACGACGCCCTACTCCGCGCCCCACCCGACGCCCCACCCAGCGACCGACAGCAGCACCACGTGAACTACGGCTCCGACCAGCAGCAGCGCCACGACTGCCACCAGCAGTACTCCCACCAAGGCGGAGACCAGCAACACCACCACAAGGACTGCGACCAGCAGCGCCGCAGCGTGCATCGCGCGTGCGACGACCAGGATCTCAGCCTAGACTGCGACCACCAGCAGCACCACGATGCCACGACTGCGACCAGCAACAGCATCACGACCCCACGACCGCCTGAGCAACCAACACCACGACTGCCACCTGCACCCTGCCCACCCGCCATCGCCCTTGGGCCGCGCGGCTCACGGCTCCCCAAGGCGAGGATGAGGCCGCTCACACGGTGACGGGCCTCAAGGCGGCACAGGGGCTGCGCGGCATGCTCTCCCAGCACCCTACTGCCCACCCCGACGCAACCCTGGCGTTCCTCAACCCACGCACTACCAGCACCCACCTCACGACTCACCACCACCACCACCACCACCACCACCACCACCACCACCACCACCACCACCACCACCACCACCACCACCACCACCACCACCACCCGACTCCACCTTGAGAGGTCTCCCAGATGGGGTCCGAGTAGATGGGGTCGGAGGATCGCGCTGCATCGTCGACGCATCACCGACGCATAAGTGATGCGACGACGACGTCGGCGACATATCGGCGCCGTCCGCGTGGAGAGAAGCGGGCTCCGCATCCAGCCGCATCGGCCGGCGACGCACCGGCGCTCATTACGGCGCCATCCTCCGACCTCTTTCTTTCTTTCTGACCCCATCCGGGAGGCCTAGAACCTCTTTGGACGCCAGAAATGGGTACGGACAAAAGGGGTGCAAGGCCCAACAACAACTGTTGCCCCAGACCAACAGCGGCCGCTGTTGGGCAGGCGGCCTCCTGATCCAAATGGACACAGGCCGCGGCGGCGCGGACAGCGAGTCCTGTTCAGAATGAACATCGGGCCGGGCGAACGGGGGGGATAACAAAGGGGGGGGGTGAGAATCTGCTCACGTAGCTGATTATCCCGGCGCCTCCCGGCGCCCGGAGGCGCCCATGTATCGAGGAATGGGCTTGGCGGCGGGGCCGAAACCAGCTGCATGCAGCAGATTTCGTAACCCCCCCTTTCCCTATCCCCCCCCTTTTCGTCCGGCCCGAGGACAGGAACTGCTGCTGGGCACTGTACCCATTCTTGCCGCACCCACTTCGTTCGTGCCGAACCTCCGCGCGACCTCTCCCGCACCAGGCCCGACATAACATTGTACCCATTCTTTCCGTACCCATTGCCGAACCTCCGCGCCACCTCTCCCGCACCCGGGCCCCGGCGCCGGCACCGCCCTCGGTGCCGCCCTCTCGAGAGTGGAGCGTGCCTCCCTCCCGCGGGAGGCGGGGCCTGGCTGCTCTCGGCCCGCGGCTGCAGCGCCCCCTTCGGGGGCGCGCAGCGGGCCCACCCCCCCCTGCGGGCCCAACGCCCCCCCGGGGGCGCCGGGAGGGAGGGAGGAGTGAGGAGGGAGGAGGGAGGAGGGAGGAGGAGGAGGAGGAGGAGGAGGGGGGAAGAGGAGGAGGGGGGAAGAGGAGGAGGAGGAGGAGGAGGAGGAGGAGGAGGAGGAGGAGGAGGAGGAGGAGGAGAGGAGGAGGGGAGGAGGGAGGAGGGGGAGGGGGAGGAGGAGGAGGGGGAGGAGGGGGAGGAGGAGGAGGAGGAGGAGGAGGAGGAGGAGGAGGAGGAGGAGGAGGAGGAGGACGAGGAGGAGGAGGGGGAGGGAGGGGAAAGTGAGGGAGGGTGAGCGACCCCAACACCAGTCCCCGCCCGGGCGCCCGACCAGAGATGCGGGGTATAAAAGATGAGAGAGAAGCGAAGGGCGAGGCAGTCGGAGGAGGAATCCCAATATAAGAGCGGCAGCAGCCGACGACACCCGGCGTGGACAGCGCGGCGCGTCGCGCTTCACTTCAGGGTCGCGTACCACGTGCGCGAGCCCTCCCCTCCGCACCAGTCCACGAGATGAGAGAGCGGGTCGTCGTCAGGGATCGAGGATCAAGGTAGGTCCCATGATGGCTTGTAGATCGAGATCGAGATTCGAGGGATCGGGATCGAGGTCGAGGATCGAGATTCCAGATATCGGGGTCGAGATCCAGGACTGAGGTTGACAAGGTCGAGGCCGAGATCCGCTTGGGCGTTCTTGCGCCCTGCTGGGCCTTCGGACCCCTCGGGGTGGTGGCCAGGGCGGCTGGTCTGCTCTGCCTGCGGTGCGAATGGACACATACAACAGCACACCCTGATATACGCATCACAGTCGGGGCCCGACCACAAGAAACCTTCCACAAGAAACCCAACCCCGAGACCCCAGGACGTCCATTGATGTTTGGTGTGGGAGCGTCACGCTTTCCATAGCAGAACCATCGAAACCCAAGAAACCCAGTGCACCCTGGAGGTAAACACATGCAACAGCAAATCTTGGTGTACAGTCGGGGCGTTGACCGAAGGAACCCTAAATAAGGAACGAGGCCCCTTTTTCCCATAAGTTAAACTTCGATTTCCCATGGACAACCCAACGCAAACTGTAAAACAATCAAGGAACACCGAGCCCCTCGCCAACGAGAAGGGTTCCTTCTTCAGCGCCCCGACTGTACGCTTCAAAGAAGAAACAACAACGCCACAAACAGAAACTGCTGGCGCTCCGCGCGGATGTCCTGGATCCGCGCTGGCCCCCCTCCCCTGGCGCGCGGAGCGCGCCAGGGGCGGCGCTGGAGGTGCCGCCGAGGGGCCCAACGCAGATCCAAGAAATCCGCGCGGAGCGCCACAACAACTCTATGTTTTTGGCGAGATTTCTCTTCGAAAAATTGGGGCGCGATTGTTCGTCGACCTCTGATGGCTTTAAAAGGGCCCCCGAGCTTGTCTGGGGCCCCTGGGGCCATCGGGGATGAGCAACTTCCGAGGGGCACCTGCTGGAAGGCTGTCGTCTCAATTGCCCCGCCTATGGCATGGACGCCGTTCGGAGAAGGCGTGATCGTGAGCCCCCCCCTCCCTCCTCCCTGCTCCTCTCCCTGCTCCTCGTGATTCTCCTCCTCGTCCTCCTCCCCGTCGTTCTCGTCGTCGCCCTCACCTTCGTCCCCGTCCTCGAAATCGCCGCCGTCGCCGAGTCGCCGCCGCCGTCCTCGTCGAACGTCGCCGCCGTCGTCAGCGTCCTCGTCCTCGTCCTCGTCGCCCTCGTCGCCGCCGCGGGGCAAACTCAATGGGCTGCCCCCCCACCCCCCCCGTGGCGGGGCGCCAGGAGTGCCCCCCCCGCCTTGTACAGGGACACGCTCTCGAGGCCCTTCTTCGCCTTCCACTCCTCGGCCCCAGGGGGGGGGGGCTGAGGCCGCCGAGTGCGCCCGGGAGGGGGCGGCGTGATCGTCCCTGTGCCGGGAGGAGGAAAGGGGAGGAGGAAGGAAGGGGGAGTAGTGGGAGGGGGGGGGGGCACTTGGGGAGGCGGGGGGGCGGAAACGGGGAGAAGGGAGAGAGGATGGGGGCAAGCTGGGTGCGCTCGCGACAAATCCAAATCTGGGATCCAGTCCCTCACTCCCATCCCTTCCCGTTGCGCCGATGTCTTCTTTCTCCGCGGACGCGTGCCTTAGCCGACCTGGAGCTCCCACAAGGAGCCCATCATGCTATGCGCATTCGGAAAACGAGAGCTGCGTGCGTAGGAGGAGAACGGGGAGGTGGCGGACGACCAGGAGGACGGGCAGCAGGACAAGGGGGCAGGACGAGGAAGGATCAGGACGAGGACGACCAGCAGCAGCAGCAGCAGCAGCAGCAGCAGGAGCAGGAACTGGAGCGGAAGGAGTGGGAGGAGCAGGAGGACCAGCGGAAGGCGGAGGAGGGGAGGTCAGGGGGCGGCACCGATCAGCAGGGACTCGGATCCAGAACGGTGGCGCGCGCTGGGGCGAGGGCGCCGTTCGGACCGACGGGGGCAGCGCACCGGTCCGAAAACGAGGCCCGCACTGCAGCGGGAACACCGTTCTGGAACAACGGAAGCGATCGGATCGAGCAAGAAGAAACACATGTGAAACAACAGAACGACCAAACCGAATGTAAAAAACAATACGCGGGTGGGGGCCAGATAATCTGGACAGAGTCGGGGGAGAGAGGACAGTAGTATTCGTACTCAGCTTGTGTAGCTGTGGAGAAGAGTGGGGGGAAGGAGGAGGAAGAGGAGGCGAGGGTGGGTGATTGAAAAGGGGGGGGAGGGGAGGAGGGCAAGGAGGAGAGCAGGCAAAACCACATGCGGGATCCAACCCCCGCGCCCGGGGCCCTGGGGCCGCGGGGCTGGCCGCGGGGCTGGCCTCAGCCCGCGCGGCCAGCCCGCGCGGCCTGCCGCCGCGCGACGGCGGAACGCAGGGCGCGGCCGCGAGCTTTATGACGGGAAGGGCTGCGATTAGGTCGGGCCTGTCCCCCTGCAGGCGGAGTTTGGAGGACAGATGAGAAATACGCAAAAAACAAACTCCCAACTAGTCAACATCGCCGGCCCAACGGGCCAGAGGCGTGCTAGGATCTCCGGCAACTGCTCAACAATATTTCTAGTTCGCGCGCGCGGGGCGGGCCCTGGGGGTCCCCGGACGAAACGTACCCCGGCAAGGTCTCGGCAGACTCCCGGCAAGGTCCCGGCAGACTCCCGGCAGACTCCCGGCAAGGTCCCTTTTCGGAGCCCAGGAGGGCTCCAAACGGTCCAAGAGAGGCCCGAGAAGCCCTCCAGACGGTCCAAGAGAGCCGGGAGACGCCGAAATATCACTCCCAAGCGCCTGCGATGGCCTCAAGACGGCCCCACAGGCCTTCAAGACGCCCCAAGAGGTCCCTAAGCGGCGTCCCAAGAGGGCTCCCACAAGCAAAAATCGTCCCATTCCTTCTGGAAAACGTACATTTTTAACATATCCGCCTCTTCGTCTTTCACACCTTTCAAGGCGGTCCGAAAGGCCCCCAAGATCACCCCAAGACGGCCCGAGAGACCCTCAAGACCGCTCAAAGACGGCCCAAGAGCGCTCCAAGAAGGCTCAAGAAACCCTCAAAAACTTTTTTTTCGGAGCCCAGGAGGGCTCCAAATCGGTCCAAGAGGGGCCCGAGAAACCCTCCAGACGGTCCAAGAGAGCCTGGAGCCGCCGACGTATCACTCCCAAGCGCCTGCGATGGCCTCAAGACGGCCCAACAGGCCTTCAAGACGCCCCAAGAGGTCCCTAAGAGGTCCCTAAGCGGCGTCCCAAGAGGGCTCCCACTAGCAAATATCGTCTAATTCCCTTAGGAAAACGTGCATGTTTAACATATCCGCCTCTTCGTCTTTCACACCTTTCAAGGCGGTCCAAGGAGGCCCCCAAGATCACCCCAAGACAGCCCGAGAGGCCCTCTAGACCGATCAAAGACGGCCCAAGAGCGCTCCAAGAAGGCCCAGGAAACCCTCAAGAACTCTTTTTCGGAGCCCAGGAGGGCTCCAAATCGGTCCAAGAGGGGCCCGAGAAACCTTCCAGACGGTCCAAGAGAGCCGGGAAACGCCGAAATATCACCCCCAAGCGCCTGCGATGGCCTTCAAGACGGCCCAAGAGGTCCCTAAGCGGCGCCCCGGGAGAGCTCCCACAAGCAAAAATCGTCTCACTCCCTTAGGAAAAATTGCATTTTTAACATATCCGCCTGTTCGTCTTTCACACCTTTCAAGGCGGCCCAAAAGGCTTCCAAGATCACCCCAAGGCGGTCCGAGAGACCCTCGAGACCGCTCAAAGACGGCCCAAGAGCGCTCCAAAAAGGCCCGAGAAACCCTCAAGACGGCCCAAGGGGCCCCAAGACGGCTCCATGATTGAGGTCCACAGGGGCAACCTCAACGGAATTTTTGAGCCTCCCGCCCAAACACGCCCCCGAAAAGGCCCCTACAAGCCCCCAAGTAGCCCCACGAAGCCCCCGAGAGAGCCCCAAGAGGCCCCCAACAGGCCGCAAGAAAGCCCCAAGAGGCCCCCAAGAGACCCCCAGGAAGCTCCCAGGAGGCCCCCAAGAGGCCAGGCAGACCCCCCCCAAGAGACCACCAAGAGGGCCCACCCAAAGCCATCCACGAGGCCTCCCAAAGATCCCAAGAAGCTCCCACGAAGCTCCCAAGGGCTCCCAAGACCCCACGAGGCCTCCAAGAGCTCCCAAGAAGCTTCCCAGAAGCCTCCAGGGGCTCCCAAGAGGGTCACAAGTACTCCTCCTGAGAAGCTCCTCGATGCTCCCAGAAGAGACTCCCAGAAGCATCCATGAGCTCTCTGAGATGCCCCCTCCCCAGATCCCCAACACTCAGTTTTTCTCGCGTCCCTCACCCTTGGATCCTTCACTGCGTTTTCCTCCAATTTCGATTGGATGAGGATGAGCTTGGGATGGTCCTGGAAATGTGTGGGGGCTCTGGAGGTCAGCGTGAATTCTGAAAGGTTGTCGGTTGCGTGTCTTCTGTAAACGCAACCAAGAATATGAATTCGCCGGCCCAACGGGCCAGAGGCGTGCTAAGATCCCCGGTAATTGCTAAATAATACTTCTACTTCGCGCGCGCGGGGCGGCCCCTGGGGGTCCCCGGACGGAAAGTACCCCGGGCGATCCACGGCAGGGTCGGGTCAGAGATGGTTTTCCTCCTGGGCGCCGCCCCCGTGGCCCTCCAGAGAGCCCCAAGAAGAAGGGCCACGAGGCCGCCAAGAGCCCTCCAAGATGGTTCAAGAGTGGCCCCCAGGCGCCCCAAGAGGCCTCCAAGAGCACTCCCCAGAGGGCCCCAAGAGGCAAAATTCATTACTTTTCCTTAGGTTTTGGGCAGATTTTGGCGTGTCCATCTTTTCGGCTTCCCGACGCCCCAAGACGGCCCAAGAGGCCCCTAAGATCGCCCCAAGAGGGCCCAAGAAGCTCCCAAGAAGGCCCCAAGATGGCCCAAGAGGGCTCCAAGACGGCCCCAGAGGCATACAAGACGGCCCAAGAGGGGCCCAAGAGGGCCCCAAGCGATGCCCCAAAGGGGGAACACAAAACAAAACTTCGAGCCCTCGGCCTTAAGAAGCCCCCAGGAGGCCTCAAGAGGCCCCTGAGAGGCCCCCAAAGCCCCCAAGAGGCCCTCAGGAGGCCCCCAAGCGACGCTGAAGAGGCCCCCCAGCGGCCCCAAGAGGCTCAGTCATGCGAAATGGGCCGGCGGAAAGAGCGAAGCGATTCAATAAGAAATACGCAAAAACAAACTCCCAACTAGTCAACATTTGTAAAAACAGAGAAAAATCACCCCCAGACTAACGTTTTAAACTATGTTTGAATGTTTCCCCTGTAGAGGGACGCGCCCGACTTAAGGCTGCGAGACCATGCCGGGCCGCTGGAAGCCGAGAGCAGCACGCGCTGCAGCGCGTAGGCTGGGCTGCGCTGCGCGGACAGGCGATCCCATCACCCAAAGGACGTCAGCATGGCGACCGAGCGCGCCAAACGATACGTCAAAACGTACGACGTCAAAATGTACATCAAAACGTACCGTACCGCAAGTGCGACAGCGACGACGACCATCACAACACAGAGCGCGACACCAGGCACGGCAAGGCCAAGCAGCCCGAGGGGGGACCAATCGGCGGTGGACAAACCTCCCTTTAGTAAACCTCCCCTTTTGTGAAAACGGCCTGGGACCCGAAACCGACGGACCTGGACCCGCAAAAAGGACGGCCGCGACGCCGTCTCGCGAACCCGAAAACGGCCAATTCCTCAATCGACGTGCCAGGGTAGGAGGTCTATCCACCTCCGAACCAAGCACGTCGTCGTGGAGAGACCGGTGAACCACGTCTGCGCCGCCCTCATAAAGGCTTCCTCACCCCGCCACCCAGAGCTGCAGGGGCCACACGCAGAGCTAGGAGAACCACCAGCAGCAGGGCTACGAAAGGGCAAGCTGCTGCGCAACGAGGGCCCCTAGCAGAGCTCCGGGGGCAAGAGACAGAGCTCCAAGAACCACCCGCTGAGCTACTACAGATTTCGTAATAAAAGGGAGGGGGTCTGGACCCTCCAAGACAAGCCATTTCAGACCTCCCCCGTGGGAGAACCCTCCAAAACATCGTCCCCAGACCCCCCAGGCCCTCCAAGATAGCCTGGAAGAGACCCCCCCCGAAATGAGACCCCCCTCTCTTTATTACGAAATCTGGAGTACGTGGGCCACAAGCTGAGCTACGGGGTCCACTAGCAGAACTTCGAGAGCCACCAGCTGAGCGTCGAGGGCCACCAGCTGCGGCGCCAGGGCCATCTGCTGAGCTGCAATGGCCACCAGAAAAGCTACGAAGACAACTGGTTGAGCCACGAGGACCATAGGTTAGATTACGAGGGCCACCGGCAGGGCTTCGA